AGAGAGAGATCTATGAATTCCTTTCTTCATTTGGTTCAAAAAGTGTCCCTTCTAGTTGACAGAATAATAAAAAAATAAAAATAATTGATACATAGTATTATATACGATATATATAGTCGTATGTGATGGATGTACTTCAGCTGCTTTTTTTAACTTATTTTCTAGTTGATAGTACTTGATACTACTGGACCCAGTTTCCAGCACTTGAACATAAATGACCCTGTTTTCTTTCGAAAAAATAAAAATAAAAATAAAAAATCTCGATACTACTACTTGATGGTAGATAATGTATCTGCTACTTTTTCAGAAGTTTTTCTTTTTCTTTTTCTTTTTGTTCTTTTTTTTCTGAATTCACTTATTTCGCTTCTGATATTCTCCTTGTTCCAGGTTTTTGGATTTAGGGTTTCTCATTTTGTTACGTAATACGTAGTAGGCGGTGAGTCTACAGCCAGATTCATCGGAGAAGTCATGTGTGCATGCTCGTACAGCCAGATTCCGTTTTCAGTTTTCCAACTTTTTGTTCCTTTCATTTAGGGTTTGTCATTCAGTTATCGGGAGCGAGCGAATCCACTTCTACGGTTTTTGTGCGTGTCATTTTTATTCTTTTCCGATGTTTTCTTGGCGTGGAGACAATCTGCAAATTGATCAATCGAAGACGTTTTCATAAGCATGCGCCCGATCATAGAAGTGGCCAGATTCATCGTAAAAGGATTGCAGTTTGAACAGTCGGTCTATGAATTGACATGTAGAGAGGTTTTTACCGTTTTACCGTTTTTGTGATTCAGAGTGAAAATGTGGTGGCATTCAGGATTTCAGAATCAGTCAGCATTATTTTGATATTTTACTTTTTGGAAGTTTTTTCCCCTCATTTACTCGTGTGTTCTCTTGCGACATGGTTGTGCCGTGTCCATGACTTGTTTTTGTTTTCTCTGGTATAATTTGTCCTTTGCCTGCAGGCTCTGTGGACGGTGCCAACTCAATCACAGTAGCGGACTATATGACAGTAATGGCAGCATTTGAGGAATGCCTGAAATACTGTATACAGGAAGGACACGAAGAACTTCTCATACACTTCAGGTGACAAAGACTTTGCATGCCTTAAAAAAAAAGAAGAAAAAAGGACCCAAAGAACTTCACCGACAGTTCAGGTGGTTAATGTTTTCGTTGCTATGCTACCAGAGTGGCCCGGGACCATTTGGCCGGCTGGGCCAAAATATATATGCCAGCGGCGTGTCTGGAGTGTATTTTTTGGCTGTGACAGACCTTTCTTTGTTTCATGGATGTTTTGCTGGCTTGTGATGGGGTGTGAACCGACAGTCTGTAGAGTTTTCCATCTGGTGTGGGTGAGTGATAGTCAAATTTGATTTTGGTTAAGGTAGATTATCATTTACAGTGTAATCAGTGAGGGGATTCTGCAGACTGTTGAGGGTTCAGCCTCCTGATGAGTCGGTGAAACTCCGACGAAACAGTTTGTCACAGCCCCTCGTTTGTCCAGGACCCTTCCCCATTGAGGATCCAAGCCCCCAAAATTGTTTTGGGGGGTTTTCAGGCCCGTTTATGTTTTTTTGGGGGGTCCGGACATGCTCTCTCTCTATAATAATTTATTAGACAACCCCAATTTTTTAATTATTAATAATTCATTACCTTTTAATAGTTTTTAACTTTTTATTACTTTTTAAACTTTAAAGTCTTTTTTAAAGCTTTTTTATAGTTTTTGACTTGTAACTCAAGTTTCGTTAGGAATTCTGACATGATTCTGAGGCAAAAGTGGTTTGCATTGTCCTTCTGCATAGCATACTTTTTTTTCAGATTTTTTTATTTTTATTTTTTTTAATGGTCCGGACATTTCCGGACCTGTCCAGACATCCGGACCGTCCGGACCCCCCATGTCCGGAGGTCCGGAAATGTCCGGATTCCGGACGTCTGGAAACTACCGGACACGGGCCCGGTTCCATGTCCAGGTCCGCGTCGGGCGTAGCCATGATATATATATCGTCAAATAGAACTGCCCGGTAAACCGTAGGCAGAGAGGGAGAAGAGGACAACAAACGAGGGGCTGTGACAAACTGTTTCGTCGGAGTTTCACCGACTCATCAGGAGTGGGCAGTTCTGTTTGTGACGATATATATTATATATAATATTATTTTATTATTTTTAAATTTAAAATTTTTCTTTAAATTTGGTAAAGAATTTCGATGTGACCCTGAGGCAAAAGTTGTTCAGTTTATTTTTCTGCATAACATGTTTTTTGAGAATGTTTTTTTTGTTTTTTGCTGGGACCTTCCGTGGTTCTTGCACGGCCGGACAGCTCAGGCAAACAAGGTGACCCGGGCGGCCCGGCTGGTAGCCTAGTTTCCTTGCCAAAAAAAAAAACAGCAAGGAGAAGGACATGAAGAGGGTGGGTGGGGTCTGGGACTTTCCGTGGTCCTTGCATGGCCGGGCAGCCCGGGCAAACAAGGTGACCCGGGTGGCCCGGCTGGTAGCCTAGTTTCCATGCCCGAAAAAAAAAAAAAAAAAAGCAAGGAGAAGGATATGAAGAGGGTGGGTGGGGTCTTCCGAGGGGTTCATCCGGATAACTGAATGGCCAATTACCCAGGGTGACTGTCATATGTCCAGTACCCAACCTCTACAACAAACCTGGACTCAAAAAAAAAAACAAAAAAAACTGGGACCGGTCAGTTTCACAATGATATCTCCAGGCTGTCACCCTTTTAAGAAAATAAAAGAAAGAAAGAAAGATTCTGAAAGAAAGAAGGTAAAAAAAAAGGGATAAACTTCCGAATCTTCCGAGTTCCGATAAAGACTATGAAAGAGTAGTAAAGACCACTTTTCTACCCCCTCTTCAGTAGTTGCCTCGCATGTGTTTTAAAATTTTAATAGGTGCTTACACCAGGCCTGAACGTGGACAACCTTCCGACCAAATCCCGACCTGACGCTTGATGTCGTAGAGAAGGCGTTGTTGTAAGAGCAATGCAGAGAGAAAAATGCGCCCAATATTATCCACCCAAAATTTGGGACGAAGTTCAACTTCATGCCATGGAGCGTTCAGACAAATAGAAGACGATGAGGAAGAGGAGGAGGAGGAAAAAGAAGGTAGAGGAGAATCAAGATTCTTAAGAGGAGAAAGGAAATAGAGATGTTGAAAGAGGGGGAAGAGGAGGAGGAAGAGCAGGAAGAGGAAGAGGAGAAGAGGAGAAGAGGAGAAGAGGAGAAGAGGAGGGAGTGGAAGAGGAGGAAGAGGAGGGAGTGGAAGAGGAGGAAGAGGAGGAAGAGGGGAGGAAGAAGGTAGAGGAGAATCGAAGTTCTGAAGAGGAAAAGGAAAACGGAGATGTAGAAGAAGGAGATGAGGATAAAGCCATAAAAGAAAATCCAAACTTCCAAAGCTTATACCCTGTGGTAGCCTGACGGTTCAACGGGTGTGGATCTATGAAAGGGACGAGGACGTGGTGGTGGTATGCCGGATGATGTTCACTCAGTTAACCTGGTCACTCTTTCTTTTTCTCTTTTTTAGGTTAAATTCTATTAAGTGGTGGTATGCAGGAACGAGGTGTGCAAAAACGCGACAGGAATTTGCAGACGCCCATCGAACTGGTAGAGTTTTCTGAACTTGGCCAAGTGTGAAAAGTACAACGTCTGGAACCCCACGCGGATCACGATTTTGAACCTGATGCAAGATTTGGAACCACTTGGTTCACAGCTTTGAGCTGGCATAACGTTTCAAACCAGTTGGTTCGGAATTTTGAACCTGCTGCAACGGTTTGGAACCAGCTGGTTCACAATTTCGACGACTTCGTAGAACTTTTGGAACCCCTGGTGCAACATCTGGAACCAACTGGTTCACAATTCTGAACCTCTATCGTGTCGTGCTGGTCATGCCTGTCAACACTGATGGTGTCTTACAGGTTCCCTCTATTCGCAAGAATCGCCCGGTCAAGGAGTTTCCTCACAGAGGCAAAGGTCACAATTTGTCGGCTCGTTGCAGTCCTGGCCTCGCATGATGGAATGAGGGAGGAGCTCATCTTCTCCGAGCTATGGGGCGGTCTCACAGTCCAGCTATGGGACTGCATGGTTGCATATCCAGAGGAGGGAACTGAAGAGGTGATGCTGGCGACTCTGCATGTTCTCCAGCTGATCAGGTAAGAGTACTTGATTTTTAGAGAAAAAAAAATGGATTACCATGGAGAAGATGACACGAGTTTTAGTATTATGGCGCTAACAACTTCCTCGCTACAGCTCCTCGATGCGCACTGTCACCAAACCCTTCTACTCATACCTTGTACTCGTGCGCCACTCAGATTGAGAGAGTAATAGATCTACACCCTTCTACTCATACATATATATACTCTGTTTGACTATATTATCTATATATATATAGTCGGTGAAACTCTGACGAAACAATTTGTCACAGCCCCTCGTTTGTTGTCCTCTTCTCCCTCTCTGCCTATGGGTTACCGGGCAGCTCCCCCTGTTCTGTTTTATTTGGCTGTTCCCTTCCTCTCTTCTTTGCCTCTTTGCCTTTTGGCTGTGTGCAAGCGGGTCGATCTGACACACGGGGGTGGGGGCAGCCGCCACTCAACCTACATGTGGGCGGCCTTACGCAAGAGGTTCTGTTTTTTTTTTTTTTTCCAAAAGGCTAAGTCTTTAAGCCCAACCAATTCAATTACCTGTCAAATCTGGACAGGACGGCCTCTCAGGCCTTTTTTTTTATTGTCATTATAGTATTACGGGGAACCCCGTAGCAGCCACATCCATGCTCATGCCTCCAACGAGGGAACATGCGGGAGCTGCACCCACCAGCAGGTGCGATACCTGCTACAGCAGGTGGGCGATACCGGCCAGGGGTCAGCCGGTAGCATCAGGACCGAGCTTCTTCGATGGGCCAGTCACTGTGCCTCCCCTCCGGTCCCCTCCCCCTATGAACATCAGCAGTCTCTGCTCAATGCCACTCAGGGGGACCAACGGCATATCTCTAGGTGGCGGGCGCCAAGCTTGTCCAGGAAGCTACATAAATGGGGATTGAACCCAAGACCTCCTGAATGCCACTTGCGTGCCTTACCAACTGAGCTGCGCAAGGATGACACGCATAAATCGAGAAATGGTCCAAATTTTACGCAAGAGGTTCTGAACAGGGGGAGTTGTAAGGAAGAAGATTAAAAACGAATTGAGTTTTTTTGTTTTCCTTGTTTTCTTTCTGTTTTTTTTTGCTTTGGCGCTCTGATATCACGTGACAATATATACATACATATATATTGTCACAAAGTTATCAGAGTGCAAAAGCGAAAAGAAAACAGAAAGAAAACAAAGAAAAATAAATTCATTTTTTTATCTTCTTCCTTACAACTCCCCCTGTTCAGAACCTCTTGCGTACAAGGCCGCCCACGTGGATGTAGGTTGAGCGGCGGCTGCCCCCAACCCCGTGTGTCATATCAACCCACTTGCACACAGCCAAAGGGCAAAGAGGCAAAGTAAAGAGGAAGGGAACAGCCAATACAACAAAACAGGGGGCAACAAGCAACAGCACCAAAAACTGATCCTAGATGACAAGTCCAACATGCAAGCACCGCCCCTTCTCACAGGCCAAACGACGGGACAAGACCACCCAGGACAAAACTCTTGTCTGCAAAAATAACTATATACAGCAGATGGCCTTGTTCGTCATCAAGACGTCAGTATCCCCATTCCTAAACCATTCATGCTTTCATAGGCCAAACAACAAGAAAACCCGGATGACTGGTCCCACATGAAAGCACCGCTACGTTCGCCAAAATAGACCGAACAAGGGGACAAAACCAACCGGGATGCAGACAAGGGTGCCAAAAAACAAACATAACAGATCCTAGATGACAAGTCCCACATGCAAGCTCCTCCCTCAACTTCACAGGCCAAACGACGGGACAATGACCAACCAGGATAGCAATCAACACCCTTGCCTGCAAAAAAAAACTATATAAAGACAATCCCAGATGACGATTCCCACCTAAAAGCACCGCCCCCTTCGATAGGCCAAACAACGGGAACCAGCCAACTAGGATGCCAAAAAGAAAAACCCGGATGACAAGTCCCACATGAAACCACCACCACGTGGACCGAACAAGCCACATGAAACCACCGTCACGTGGACCGAACAACGAGACAAAACCAACCCGGGATGCAGACAAAGAGTGCCAAAAATACCATCTACCATAACCAACACTTGAAAAAACGGAACCATACAGTAGGTCCGTAAAACGAAATACCCCAACGATGGGGAAGAGCAAAGCAAAAGGAAAAGGATAGAAAGGAGAATTAGAAAAAGCATATTCTTATTATTCTACCATAAGGTGGTGTGCTGATGCCGACCTCACCAAAATGCAAGTTTGGTGAGTGGTGCGGCGAGGCCCTGTACTCCCTTGTGGGGCTGAATGCTAATCACCTAGAGTCTAAAAGCCTAAAACAGAAATTATTTGACAAAAAAGACCGAAAGGGAAAACACGTATAAGCCAAAATCCTGTCGACAGCGGCACGAGTCGAGGCCCACCTTGGCCCTGCTGTGATACAGATCGGGAGGCAGGGCATGCATGAGGGTGATTTAACAGTCTTTACCTTGACATCAATGCACAATACATTTGAATATTTTGTTGTTCCAATTTTGGCAGGGTAAAACGGAAAGACAGGGACCCAGTCTACCTCAGTGTGTGCTGTCATGTTTATACACAACTCCACAAAAAAAAGCCTGTGCCAGAGTGTTTCATCGGACTTTCATCGACTGAGTGTGCGTGTGTCTGATCCTGCCACCCGCAACCGCTTTACGAAGAAAAAGAAGATTCAGACGGGGACCCGGTCTACCTCAGTGTGTGTTCTCACGTTCGCTACACACAACTCCACAAACGAAAAAGCATGACTGTGCCAGATTGTTTCGTCGGACTTTCACTGACTCAGTGTGTGCGGAATGGAGCACACGCAGCAGTGTGGTCATTGGTAGGTGGTAACACACCATGTATCCTTCGCTTTTCAAGGGTAATGATAGAGTCTGAGCTTTTAGGTAACTAAAAGGCCACTGCAATCAGACTTGCTCTCATTCACACTTTTCATGTATGCAAACAGGTGCGCAGCAAACTGGCGACACACGCCCACTCAAAACTCAAAGATATGGTAGCCAAGAACACAGTTCAGGTACAAGTTCACTTCAATGGCTATGGCGACTCAGCGCCCACACAACTCTCTCTGTTCGCACACACAGGATCACCCTGGATATCCCACACGCGATACTCTGTACACACACACACACTCACACTGCACACTATCCACGGCTCTGGCGGCTATGGCTAAGCTCCTTCTCTCTCGCCCACTTCGTCTTCGGGCTTACTGCAGACCACCTCGCACAAGTCGCTATGACAGCGCTTCCGCATGGCTCACGCAGGAATGCATGAATGACTGGGCGCTGCCTCTTGATTTATACTTCTGCAGCTCGTTGGTCTGGCCCTTTCCCATGCCCGTGGTGCACACAGTCCCATGCGGTACTTGCTTGACTGGACCAGGACTGACTGGGACTGGAACAGCTGACTCAGCACGGGTAGACTCCACCACTTGCCCACTTGCCTCAGCCTAAACATGGGCATCTTCGAAAGGCCACTACTGGGACCTTCCGGAAGGCTGTAGACTTGGCCTTTCCATACTGTAGCAGCTATGGACCCTACAACAGCCTACCAACTGTTACAAATACACAGGTCACGGGTTCAACTCTAGGGGTCGACCCAGATACTGTACACAGGTAAGGTGGGGACTAGGGATCGAGCCCTGGGATCTGCATCAGCTACTGCGAACTGGTGAATATTGTTTCATGAACTTTCACCACTATTGAGTGTGAGTTGTGGGCTGGGTGTCATGTGTGCTGTGTGGTAACGTGCGGGCTGGGTGGTCTGTGTGTCTGGCAATGTCAATTGCAGTGGGTGATATGTGCAGTGGATGCACGGGGTGGTAGGTACTACATGGGACAGCCGGGTAGTACTATATCAGGAACCCTTACGTGTACATGGTGTATCGAAACTTGAAAGCCCACTTTGAAAAGCCAGTGTGTACTTATATTTGAACGCCTACTTCCCAATTGAGCAATCCATGCACTTACGGTTCGCCAGGACGTACCGCCAGGAAGGGTTAAGAGTGACATTTTTTTGGTTACCAGATCTTATTCATGGGATGATGGACCCGGTTTCCAGCAGGTGATGCTCCCAACCAATAAAAAGCAGTCTCTTGTTAGAAAAAACATCAAAAAATAGAAAGAAAGAAAACGAAGTCTAAAGAGCATCTGCAGGCTCTTCGCAATGGAACCCGACGTTCACTTGAATTTGGGTCGCTCGCACAATTCGAGACAGACGAAAGCAAGGAAAAGTAGAAAAGGACTAAAAAAGGACGTGCACAGACGACAGCAATCCTTCCCATGCATTGATTGTTCTTGCTGTGCAGTTTCATTTTTTTTTAACTTAGCTGCTTTTTGAACTATTCTAACAAGATCAGGGTTGCATACCTGCTGAACTCGACCGCTGACCCCGACTGCCGACCGGAAGGATTGACCGTTCGGCAGTCTGCCGAGTCAGAAAACAGCCATCCAG